GGCTGGCATCAAACAACTTGTCCGTGCACAATCCCCCCCACCGCACACCGTTGCTTTCGGGCACATCTACCACACACCGTACCTCGCGAAACTTCCGCCTTCTTGGCGGCAGTCCGTGTTCCAGCTGTTGTTCGCTCTCCGTCGTGCCACCTTTCCTGAAGGTCCTCAAGGAACGTCGGTGGTGACCCAGGAGGGAGGACTCCAGCTGCCTGTTGCTCGTGCTGCTTAGACCAACGACTTCAAGCACGATCTACAAGCCCCCCGGCAGGCCTCTTCACGCCCTGCACATGGTTCTGGAGAGGACAAGGACTTCAGTAGGTCGGCGGCTCCGGTGTCCAAGAGCTGGAAGAACCGTTGGGGCGACCGGAATTCGACGGCCAAGAGCGGGACGGACGACCACCACCGCTTCACCCAGTCTTCGCGAGGGCGCGGCGTCGGAGATAACAGGCGAGGGCGAGCCGTGGGGAACCAGCCTACCAGGTCTTCGCCGGCGAGTCGCCATCGCCGTAGCAGGAGCCGGAGCGCAGAACGACAACAGCGCACCAATCCTTCGTCTAGGCGTGGGCACAGCCGGAGCGGAGACTGTCGTGGGAGAGATACGCTTCCGTCTAGGCGTAGCCGTAGCCGGAGCCAGAACCAGAGCGGGGGCAATAGCCGGGCGACCAGCACTGACAGCAGTCGCGGTGGAAAAGGGCGACGGAGGTCAGGCCACGGTAACAGGCAAGTGATGTATGATCGAGGCGATTTTCGTAGCTCTGGGTTGTTGGGGGAAAACAAGGCTGCTTCAGAAGACGGTTCTCTCTGCTCTTCACCGCTTGTTCTACGCCCTTCCGCTGATGTAGGCCAACCGACCAGGTCTTCTTTGGCTTTCAAACTTGCCAACATGCAACTTCGTGAACGTTCAGCCGCTGTGAAAAGCCATGGCCCTGCCCATGCCTTTATGGATCATCCCACATCTTCCTTGCCTTTGGACGAACCTGTTGAGTCACCACGCCATGCTGCATCACACGCCTCGACTTCGGCTTCCCGTACTGAAATGCTGTTGGAACAAGTACTCACTCTCCTGCGAGCAAATCAAGTAGTGGATGCTGCTGCAGACGCGAATGTACAACCTCCTGTGCCCCCCCACGCTCCTAGCGTGCCACCACCTGCCCCATCTTCCTCCTCACCAACGCGTCCAACACCGATGCACGACCACGCTTCGAGCTTTTCGGGAGCTCCTGTGGGACGCGATGTTCGTGCNCCTCCTGCGAGCAAATCAAGTAGTGGATGCTGCTGCAGACGCGA